TAATAGAGTGGATGTTGTAATAGGTTCATCAGGATGTTGTAAAGGGTAGTCTTACACGCATGCATAAATGAAGTCTTACAAACACACATACTTACACAAACATTCCACGTTCAACAACTAGCTAGCCCGCTGTAACGACTTTTCCTTTGACACCTTTTTGTTCCCATGGCAATATGACTTTGGACAGGTTCTTTTCCACAACACTGATCTTCTTAGAAAAGTCTATGAATAGCAGCATCTCATCGTAGTTATTATAAGCTTCAGCATCGTCCATGCCATCAACTCCGATAATGTGTTGTTTCCCGGAGGCAACCACTTGCTTTGTCTTCTTCTTCGGGGGAGGTTACTTTGTGGGTTAGGCATATAGAAAACTTGTGCGACACATAAAGCGAGCACCCAAGGGTCATCTTGGTAGCCTAGATTCTCGAAGTCCAGGACTCTCAATCCGATCTCGTTCAGTTAGTGTTGTTTGATCCAGCGGCATCGAAACAGGGCCACCGTTATATCCCTTCCATAGTCAAGTTTCCATATCTCTTCAATGATGTCAAAGTATTGGATCTTTCGCCCCACTCCATCGAGAGCTTCTATTCGAATGCCGCTGTTTTGGTTCACACATTTACTATCCTTTGCATGGGTATAGTACATATACCCGTTGATGTCATAAGCTTTCTAAGATGTCACTTGTCTCGATGGCCCCTCCGCCAACATACTGATGGTAATAGAGTCTATGGTTTCTCTAGACAGTATATTTTGGTCCTTCAACCATGTAGTTAGTCGTTGCTTGTGCTATTTCATGACCCAATCATCTGAACGACCATTTCTCTCCGCCATAATGATAGCCAAGTGTTCATCAATGTACGGTTGCATCAGTTGTGTACTCTGCAACACACTGTAATGCGCCCGACTCACCTCTTTGTAATCATGGTCGATGAACACTTTTCTACCACTGGTGCCCTTCCTAGCCAGCCTACCCATGTGATGAGAATCGGGTTTACCAATCCCTTTATGTACTTTTAGGTACTCTTGACAGCACTCGATGACTTCTTCAGTACTATAACCCTCTATCATGGAGACCTCTGGGTATGCTCGATTATGCACGTATCGACTTAGAACCAACATAAACCGCTCGTAGGACCACATTTCATGCAAGTAGCAAGGGCCCAGCGCCTGTATCTGATGAACCATGTGAATCATGAGATGTTGCATTATATAAAAAAAGCAGGAGGTAAACACATCTCTTGTTGATTTTGTGTCTCCACCACAAATTCATGTAGGTCACTCAGCTCTTACTTTATAATCGTCTTCTGTGAGATCTTTGAAAAGAAGTAGCACATGCGGGTGATGGCTATTTTCAAGAACTCGGGCTTTATAGCCCTGATTACAATAGGTACAAACACTATCAGCATCACATGATATTCTTCTACATGTGCATAGCATCAATGGCAAGGGGGACCTCCAAGTCAGGCCAATAAGGAAGATACTGAAAGAAGATTGACTGTTTCTTGAAAGGTACGACTTCGACAGGAGGTGTGCTTCCATCTCTGTTTGTCCCATCCGAATTCTTCTTTTGATAGACGACACGTATGTTTTTCACCATTCTGTACATGTGTTCTCCGTTATGACGTCTCTTCGGAGGGGGTTCAATCTCTGGGGTGTTGTCATAAAATCTAAATAACAATTTGTTGCGGTACTTGTGACTTGTCTTTAAGAAGCGCCGGTTCCTTAGGTAAACTATCTTCTTGATGCATCCAGGAACACCCACGTAGTACCATCCAAGCAAACCAAGCATTCCGTCTTCCCTTTGATCTGTCTAGACAAAGCAAACAACGTGGGGTAATCATTGGTAGTAATAAATATTATTGCTATACATATGAAGTCCTCCTTTTAGAATGCATCATACATCGGCTCCACATGCCTCCATAGCCTCTCCATTTCTTGCATCAAAGGCTGAAGGAACACGTCTATATCAATGCCTGGTTGTTTAGGGCCAAAAATAAGAATAGTGAGGAGAAGGTATTTTCTCTTCTGACACAACCACGTTGGGATGTTGTACATGGTCAAGATCATTGGCCAAGTGCTGTGGTCGCTCATCCTCTCATTGAAGAAATTCATTCCATCGGTGCTCAAGCCAAACCGTATATTCCTTAGGTTATCGCTGAATTCTTTGTGATTCTCATCGATCCTTTGCCACTGACTACAATCAGCCGGGTGTGCAATCTTATCATCATCCACCTTGCGCTCCTCATCCCACCATGTCATGAGTGTGGATTCTTTAGGATTTAGGAAGATACGTCTCAAGCGGTCGGTCACTAGCAGGTACCATGTTACCAAGGCAGGAATTATTCTCTGCTTTACATCGTTGCCTAATGGAGTGTCCTCTAGGGGCTGAGATTCTTGTACCACCTTTTTTGTACCCTTCTTATTCCACTTTTTCCCCGTAGAGGCTTCGTCCCCACTGTAAAGGTCATTATTCTTGTACCGGCTGGCCCCATACCGGGAACATTTATCCAGTAAGTGATTTGAACGTTTCGCCATGAAAAAGGATACAGTGGTTGGCGCATGCATGGATTTTTTCAACCCCCATTGTCAATGGACTTATGACCTTCTTCGCTTGGTATGTGTTGGTGGGAACTAAGTTTGGTTGTGGCAGCACCCATGACAGGAGACGCAATAGGTCATTGAAGCTATAGTTTGACTAGCCGTACTTAGCCTTCAGGATGAGTAGCTCAAGCACAAAACGTAGCAATGTCCAATCCTTCGATGCTTTTTTCACCCTTTCCAAATTTTTTAGACCTTTCAGGCTCTTTAGTAAAATCTCTGATCCAAGGGCTCGAATCATGTCCTCCAAATCATCTTCTTCCCTGATACATCCTCCACCATCATTATTGGCACCACCTTCGTCGTTACCATCCCAACCACCAGCATCACCACCTTGTTCATTGCCAAACTCGGGATCCATTCGTGCATCAAGTTCTGCTGAATATTGGGACAGGGATTCCTCCACATCCTCGTCGTTAACAAGAACTGTTTTACCATGATGAATCCACACTGTGTAGTCCTCAACAAATCCTCGCATAATCAAATGTGATATGATGATAGTCAACTTTGTACATGCCATACGGTTCTTACAATCTTTACAGGGACAAATAATTGTATCCTTATTATCTGTCAACGTTGTTGCATGCTTCTCTGCAGCTTCAATAAATTTATCCACCTCTTCACGAAAACCTATATTGTACCTTAACGAACCATACATCCAAGAGTTCCTATACTCCATCTTTTACAACAACAAAACAAACGTTAAAGGACTATTTATTCATATATATATATATATATAAATGAATCAAATTAATAATTACTTGAGAATAATTGTATATAATTCAGATATATATGAATATAAATCAAATATAATTACATGAAGCATACAAACACACCATAGTAGAGGAAAATTAATTAATAGCCCATTTATCCATAAATAATTAAAATACATATTTTTTGATTACAATAAACAATTTCAAAGACAACAATTAGCAACAATTATATTTTACCCAATATCTTTCATGCAAACCCTAGTCCAATTTCATCAAACATAAATTTACAAAAACGAAATTAATAAAAAAACAAAACCCTAGATCTAGATCTACATGCACATAAAACATCCATAAAACTAACTAATTGTTCACTAAAATCAAGAAACATGGACCAAATAAGGGTATGATCTTGTTCCCCTACATAATTTACCCTAGTACATTCAAAACTTGGGTCTAATTTGCTTCATAAGTAGCTCAAGCACCACAGAAGAGAGAGAAAAGCAAAACTCTAATTACTCACTAACCAACCATTAAAACTTAAAAAAAAGTATGGAATAGTATTTTCTTACCTTCTACAACCTCTCCACCAAAGAATTTGAGACCAAAACCTTCCCCCCTTAGTAGAGCAATTTTTGAAAGGTACCCAAGGCATTCCTACCTTTTTTCACGGGTTGGAGTGAGTGACCCGAGGAGAAAGAAGGGGCTGCAGTTTTTTATACGTGGGTCATTTGTAGGGGCGGCCGGTGATTGAGCTGCCCCTACAAATCGCAGGTATATATACGTGGGGCATTTGTAGGGGCGGCTCAATCACCAGTCGCCCCTACAAATAGCAACACCGGGAGCAGCTGGTGAGTGAGCCGCCCCTACAAATCGATCCATTTGTAGGGGCGGCTCGTATCACCAACCGTCCCTACTCTTTTATTTGTAGGGGCGGCTGGTCTCGTGGGTCCCGAGCACGTCCACTGTAGGGGCGGCTCCATCACCAACCGCCTCTATAAAAAAAAGACCCATTGCTACAAACGTTTTTTTTAGTAGTGCCTTAATCAAAATCGCTGGTTCCACCTCTGGACGTCATAGAATTGATGGAGTGATTTCTAGCTCTTGAAAACAAATGCAATCTGCTTTATCTCGCTCTCTATGAAATCTAACAAGACATGTAGACAGATAAATGGATCAAGGCCTCTTTGAAAGCATCAACAAATTGATATTGGCCTCTCTGGTAACCTTCACCGGAATAACGGCTGTCCATATCACCGCGGCGTCCCATCAGACGGACGTCCTAGAACTCTTCTCTTCTCCTCTGCACGTGCTCGCGTGTTTTTTTTAAGCACGTGCCCTATCCATTTGGAAGGCTAGTAGGAGCAGTAAGTTTGCCATTCTTCTGTTACGTGGGCAGTGGACACTGCCCGATGAACCCTCGCCGGAAGTAGCCTGCTTCCGGTGACCGGTGGAATGGAATAAACTGTCACTGCCTTGGCCTGCGTGCAACTCAGCACCTGCCAAGAAGCATCCCCTGGTAGACGTCGCTGTCGGCGCTGCGTATAAGTAGGAGCGCGCATGCCTCTTCTCGCTTCAACCTGGTCAAGTTAAACACCACTAGACCAAACGACGAATCTAATAACTTCAGTTGCCTCCAAAGTCCAGAGAGAGATTATTGAAAGAAATTGACAGGTGTGAGAGCCTGAGACGATGGCCAACCTGTTCCTCAAGCAGGCAAAGCAATACGTGGCGACGCGGCCGGTCTACCCGCCGGAGCTCTTCGACTTCCTCACCTCCAAGACACCTCGCCGCGACATGGCCTGGGACGTCGGCACCGGCAACGGCCAGGCTGCAGCATCGGTTAGTCGATCATTTCTTGCCACCGTCGTCTGTGCATCTTTGATCGGCCATTTCTTGCCACAAGCAAAACCGAGGAAGATTTCTCGTGTGGACGCTGACAGACCCGCTTGAACTTTGCAGCTGGCGACGCTGTACAAGGCCGTGGTGGGCACGGACACGAGCGCGCAGCAGCTCGCCTACGCGACGCGCCTCCGCAACGTCCGCTACGTCCACACCCCGCCGGACCTGCCCCTGGAGGGGATCCACGCCACCGTCGCCCCGCCGGCCTCCGTGGACCTCATCACCGTCGCGCAGGCCTTCCACTGGCTCGACCTCCCGCGCTTCTACGCGCAGGCCCGCTCCGTGCTGCGCCCCAGCTACGGCGTGCTCGCCGCCTGGTGCTACACCGAGCCACGCATCGACAGCGCCGTCGACGCCGTGTTCTGGCGCCTGTACCACGGGTCGGAGAACTACTGGGCGCTCAACCGCCGCATGGTCGACGACGAGTATCGGAGCGCCGACTTCCCGTTCGACCCGGTCGAGGGGGAGACGCACACAGGCCCGTTCGAGTTCTCCACGCAGCGGCGGATGGACCTGGATGATTACCTCCTGTACATCACGTCGTGGTCCGCGTACCAGACGGCCAAGGATAAGGGCGTCGAGCTGCTCGACGAGGCCACCGTGCAGGAGTTCGCGGCAGCATGGGGCGGCGACGGGAAGGAGGTGAAGACCGTCACGTACCCCATCTTCCTCAGGATTGGCAAGGTGAGGTCGGAAGAATGAGATGCACGGAAAAGAAACTTGACAAATTATTGATCGATCATCTATGAATCGACGATCATAACCTTTTTAAATAATGATTTATTTATTTTATTCAATTTGCAAATGTTTTGTTCACAATTGTATTTCAAATTGTAATGCAGTTTCCTGTTCGATGTTTTGTTTGGTGTCTTCTTGATAATGTAAATTTCAATATGTGTACTGTGATAACAGAATATCCAAACTCTCATATATGGGTGAAATCTTTGGTCATGGATATATTTGTTGAAACTCTAGAAGGTGGATAATTAGTTAATGATTTCAAACTATTTTAGATATATGAGATCAGACTTCAAACTGATCCGTAATTCAAATTTAAAGTGCACCATATCAGACGATAAAGTCCACTATATTATCCGTTTGTATGATTAGAGAGTGTATTACGAACGAACGTATCTGCCAAGATACATGTCTGATTTGCCCCTCTCCACCAAGGGGGGCTTGGGCCTTTTTTCGACGAAAGAAGAATTATATTAGATAATAGCTGTGTACATCAACACGTTATAAGCACTCTGGATTATACAAATATCCAGAAACTGATTTTCATTTAAATAGTACCCACGCTGTAGGCCAACATTCATATAGGCGGAGTTAAGAAATTTCTTCTTTCTCATGTCTTCCTTCTTCTTCTTTCTGCCACCGAAGAATGAGGAAGACCGATCTAAAACTTATTGTCGGTGTTTCGAGTAAACAACACTGAGTAAATTTGTATTGTTATGCGTTGGACCCGGATGGTGTACTAAAAGACACAAGGTTTATACTGGTTCGGGCAGAATGTCCCTACGTCCAGTTTGCGACTGATGCTCGTGTTATTAGCACTGAAAAGTTCGTAGTAGGGATTACAAATGTACGAGAGAGGGACAGGTCCCAAGTCTCTGATGGAAAGGTTGAAAAGGCGCTGAGAGTTTGGTTGCTGCTCAGCTATTTATGATGAGATGCATGGTGTGTTGAATCGATCCGTCCTCTTAGAGGGGTGCCCTGCCTTCGCTTTTATAGACCAAGAGGAAGCAGGGATTACAGATAGGAGAAAGAAGAAAAACCAGAGGCGAAGATCCTTTCGAAGGTGCCGGGTCTTCTTTTTCCTCTGAGCGAGCCCTCCTGATACGGTAGACGGTGCCAGGGACAGCTCCATGCTGGGTGCATGTCCGCTGATCCTGATAGGGCCATGCTCTGACTTTGTCGCAAGTGGTCACGTCCCATCCCTCCCCGGCGGGCGGCGCGACGGACCAGGGCGCTGAACCGCGACCTTACGGGGAGCAGACGGCTCAGTGACCCCACGCCCGTTACTGTAGATGATGTGAGTTTCCTCCTGTACCGTAGTGGTTGTCGTATGCTTCCGTCAGGATCCGTGCCCGAGGGCAAATGCCAGCGCCCATAACACTGTAAGACAAACGTCGACGCCCACAACACTGTTTGGGCTTCTGACATGCCCGGAAGGGCTTAAAGCGACTGTCCTGTCATATCCTGACGGTACTTTCCTGCAGACGTGCAGGGTATGGTACTCGGTGTTGTGGTTGACTTGAGTGCCCTGTCTTATCCGCGTGCGTAGTTATGAAGGAGCAGCACGCAGTCGTCGGGCGAGACGGAGTCTTCCCTCAGACGTCGGGCGAGGCGGAGCCAGCCCCCGAACGTCGAGCAAGGCGGATTCTGGTCGATTTGTGTTTCCTGTTGAGACAGGATTTTCCTACGGAAGTAGAGGACGAGAGTATCCCACACAAGAATTTAGTTGGGCAGATAAGCCAAGCGACGAATTTGTGCAAAAATAGACAAGTTCTCAAATTTTGTTACAGCAAACAGTTTTTCAGCCCTTCTCCCCCTTTTTTCTACAGAAGGGTTTAGCGTGTTCCAACCCTTTCTGTTGTTAAGGCCATAAAAGCTCGGAGTGCAGGCGAGCCAGTTCTGATCACGCTGGTGAGCAAAGGCGCCGTAGCCCCTGGGACGTAGGTTTCTCACAGTCCGACCAGTTATACTCAGAGCTTGTTCCCGAAAACCTAGCTCCTAGGCATTAACGTGAGAAAGGGAGGCTGGCACAGAGAATGTTTGCAAGGTAAATGCACTCATATCAGGCCCCGGGTGAGACCCGCCCCGTCGCCATTGCAAGGGTCGGATGTCACAAAGGATAGCGGATTTCGATAACGAAACAAAAAAGAGAAAGTACGTGTTTATTTAGGGGTAAAAGCGATGTAGCTGCTCGATGTTCCAGGCATTGGTGAAGACCTCGCCGTCGATGGTTTTTAGCTTGTAGGCGCCTGGCCGGAGTACCTCCGCGACGACGTATGGTCCCTCCCACGGTGGGGAGAGCTTGTGGCGGTCCTTGTTGCTCTGTACGAGGCGGAGGACCAGGTCCTCGACGTTGAAGGCTTGACCCCGCACCCGTCGGCTGTGGTACCATCGCAATGCCTGTTGGTACTTGGCCGAACAGAGGAGGGCGACGTCGCACACTTTGTCCAGCTGGTCCATGGCATCCTTGTGGGATGCCTCGGCTCCCTGTTAGTCGTATGCCCAGATCCTTGGCGCTCCATAGTCGAGGTCGGCTAGGAGGATAGCCTCGGAACCGTAGACCATGAAGAAGGGCGTGTAGCCGATGGCTCGACTAGGGGGTTGTCCTTAGGCTCCAGAGTACTGAAGGAAGTTCGGCGACCCAGCGCGCGTCGAATTTTTTCAACCGATTGAATATCCTAGGCTTAAGGCCTAGTAGGACCATGCCGTTTGCGCGCTCGACCTGCCCATTCGTTTGGGGATGCGCGACGGCGGCCCAATCGACTCGGATGTGGTATTCATCGCAGAATCAAAGGAACTTCTTTTCGATGAATTACGTGTTGTTGTCCGTGATGATGGAGTTTGGGACTCTAAAGCGATGGACGATGTCGAGGAAGAATAGTATGGCCTGCTCGGATTTGATCGCGGAGATCAGCCGAGCTTCTATCCACTTTGTAAACTTGTCTATCGTGACAAGCAAGTGAGTGTAGCCCCCGTGCGCCTTTTTGAGTGGCCCAACTAGATCGAGTCCCCAGACTATGAATGGCCAGGTGATGGGGATCGTCTAGAGTGCTTGGGCTGGTAGGTGAGTCTATCGAGCGTAGTACTGGCACCCTTCGTTGGTGCGCACGATTTGCTCGGCATCGGCTACCGCGGTAGGCCAGTAGTAGCCCTGTCGGAATGCATTTCTGACCAGGGTTCGGGGCGCAGCATGATGACCGTAGACCCCACCATGGATATCGCTCAGCAAACGCTTCCCCCGTTCGAAGGGGATGCAGCGCTACAAGATCCTGGTGTGGCCTCGCTTGTAGAGTTCACCCTCCATAAGAACAAAGGACTTGGCATGACATGTGAGCCATCGGGCCTCTGTCTTGTCTGTCGACAGTGTGTTATGGAGGAGGTAGTCAAGGTAGAGTGTTGTCTAGTCGACCAGAGGGTCGGGCTCTGTCGCTGGATCTTCTTCGAGCTCCATGACTTCGGAGCCAAATGTAGCCAATGGTTGTTCAGCCCCTGGGATGGGATTGGACGGTCCATCACCGCCCTATTCTGACTCCTCATAGCAAACTGAGTCCTTGTGCTAGTTGCTGGCGAGGACTCCTATTGGCACCGGCTCTCGGTCGAATGCAGCTTTCGCAAGCGCGTCAGCTGCCTCGTTGAGATGCCTTGGGATATGATTGAGTTCGAGGCCGTCGAACTTGTCCTCCAACCGGTGGACTTCTCGGTAGTATGCGGCCATCTTGGCGTCGTGGCAACTTGACTCCTTCATGACTTGGTCGAGACCAGCTATGAATCCCCTCAAACATTGAGGCGTCGGATGCCCAATTCGACGGCAACGCGTAGGCCGTTGATGAGTGCCTCGTACTCGGCTACGTTTTTGGAGGAGGGGAAATAGAGATGGACCATGTACCTCATGTGCATCTTGAGGGGCGACACAAAGACCAGCCCCGCGCCGGCGCCCTTCTTCATAAGCGATCCATCGAAGTACATTGTCCAGTACTCTTGATCGATGACCGCTGGTGGCATTTGGACCTCGGTCCATTCCGCGATGAAGTTAGCCAACACATGTGACTTGATGGCTGCCCGAGAGGCATAAGTAATGCCCTAACCCATCAGCTTGAGCGCCCATTTCATGGTTCTCCCCGTGGCATCCTGGTTTTGGATGACCTCGCCAAGGGGGAAGGACGTCACAACTGTCACTGGATGTGACGTGAAGTAGTGGCGTAGCTTCCTCCTGGTGATGAGGATAGCATACATAAGCTTCTGGATTTGGGGGTAACGGGTCTTTGAGTCGGATAGGACCTCGCTGATGAAGTATACAGGGTGCTGTACCTTGAGGGCATGCCCCTCTTCTTCCCGCTCCACTACCAGGGCGGCGCTGACTACTTGTGTGGTGGCCGCGATGTAGAGTAGAAGGAGTTCTCCCTCGGTGGGAGGAACTAGGATTGGAGCCTTCGTTAGAAGCTGTTTAACCATGTCAAGTGCTTCCTAGGCCTCGGATGTCCATTCGAAGTGATCGGCCTTCTTTAGAAGTTGATAAAAGGGAGACCTCGTTCATCGAGGTGTGAGATGAAGCGGCTGAGTGTGGTGAGGCACCCTATAACTCGCTGCACCCCCTTTATATTTTGAATCAAACCGATCCTTGTGACAGCTGAGATCTTCTCTAGGTTGGCCTCGATGCCACGCTCAGAGACGATGAAACCAAGCAGCATGCCCCTCGAGACCCTGAAAACGCACTTCTCGGGATTGAGTTTGATGCCATTCGCTCGGAGTTTTGCAAAGGTCTGCTCAAGATCGGAAATGAGATGGTCAGCCCGTTTGGACTTGACCATGATGTCGTCAACATAGGCCTCAACGGTCTGCCCGATGAGGTCCCCGAAATACTTGAGCATACAACGCTGGTATGTAGCCCCAGCGTTCTTCAGACCGAACGGCATTGAGATGTAGCAGAACAATCCGAAGGGGTGATGAAAGATGTCGCGAGCTGA